TTTTAAAATTTTTTTAATATTTAACTAAAAATGCATACAACTCAGAATTCAAGTAAGCATAAAAGTAATTAAAATGTACAGTATTAAAATGTCAAATGCTGTCAGAGCATCCCCTCCTTGTAACTACATTGGACAACTATTGAGATTAATTTTACCAACATGGGCAACACAGGTCAAAAAAAAAAACTCAACAAGAAAACTCTCAAAGTTAAAGCTGCAAAATGAGAATATTAAAACATCAGCCCAATCTGTCCATCTTCTAAATTCAGAAAGAAACAGTTCATTTGGTTTGAAGCCTTAATTACCAGGACACCTTTCCCTTTTGGCGTATTACACCAACAAAATTTCCCTCTCAGGCAAGTAGTCCTTGCTGCCATACTCCAGAAAACTACAGTAACATACACACTACTCTGCCAAGAATTTTTTAACTTTGTACATTATTCTTTATCACTCATTAAACTTAATAACATAGCTTTAATTTCTACACTGTAGTGCTGCATTGAGAAAGCAGTCAGTACACCTACAAAGTGAATTTTTGAAAAGGTAGTCAACTTGCAAAATCTTAAAAGGTAAACCAGAATTTTCTATCTTTGAAAAGTCCACAGACTTTGGGTGCAACAGAATAAACGCAACTTATGCCAAAAACTTTGTTAATTACAACCTTATGCCAAAACTTGCTTATAGATATTGAAATAAAGATAATAGTCTAGATTATAAAGTGGATGTCACTAAACTTCTTGGTACTTTGACACATCTTTGATGAAGTCATTTATTACAGTACTCTTGTAGAGTACATTGGAGCTCAGCTCTGAAACTCCCTGGAAAAGTGGATGAAAGTTCAGAAGTGAAAATTAAAAAAATAACATATGATTAAAACTGTTAGGTCTCATTCATTCCTAGATTCACCCATGTTGTGCCAAACAAAATCCAAGGTGGTACAGACAGCCAATTCCTGGGGTTTTTTTTCTCATCTACCACATTCCCCTACAACGCTGTCTCCAGGAAACACTATAGATAGAAATAGCCAGGAAATCTTGCCACTCACATTGTCTATGCATCCTTCACCACCAACCAACAGCTTAAACTGGATGGTAAGAGGTTAAAACCCACACCCTTGCCCAAGTCCATGGAAGTCAAGAACCAACGATTGTATTAAAAGACAGGGCTCTCACAGAAGTGTGATGCAATACCCACTTTATCAGCAAACTCATGGGCTTGTTCTCCAAGACACGCTGTAATAATTGTTAATTTCAGACCAAGACAATAGTAGTTCCATATCTAGTTGGATATTATCTTGTGAAAACTTTGTTTTTAAGCTGGAAGTAAAAATGTTTTAAAAAGCATGCAACTTCATTTAGCAGTTAAAAGAGGGTTTAGTGTAATTTAATATGCCACAACTTCAGTACTCAAAAGCCTGACTGTAAGACCACTCAGGTCTTCTAAGGTGACAGATGCACAGTAAGATTTAAAATACTCTACATATCAATTTCACAGACATTAAACATTATTTTTATAAAACTACAAATTCATAAAAAGATAGCAACAGAGCACTACAGAGAAGAGATGCATAGGTGGATAGGTGGGTGGGGTGAACGGTATTAAATATGTTAAAAGTAGTAACACTTAGAAATAGTTTGAAATACATTTCTCAACTAGACAGCAATCTGGAGCTACTCTGTGGCAGAACAATGACTACTGAAAGATAGATTCCCCTCCTCCTTTTCTTTTTTTTCCATGTAATCAAATACTATTAGCTATCCTGTACGGTCTGTCTAATCAGATCTTACCACTGACTACAGTTTTCACAACCAGCAAAGAGAACACTTAAAGCCATCAAAAAAGAAGGCTGGATGAGAGAGGCAAAAGTGTACTACCAACTACCTCTCTGTTGAAAAGTAGCTTAGATTTGAAATTGGCAGTATCAACTCAGTAAAGAAAAACCTTACAAGTTTCCCATCAGTAGTGTTCGTCTCAATCTACAGGTGATATGAAACGAAACTTTTATATGAATAATCAATTTACAATACAGCTTTTTTTTTGAAAAATCTTGACATGGAAATGCACAACTACAAAAAACTAAATATTCAGCCAACTAAAGAAAAAGTAACACCTTGCCTATTACATTGCCTTAATTTCTATCGCACATAATAGTATATTCCAACACATAAACAGAAAGAAATTTAGAGATTTCATGCTAGAGACATGAGCAATAAAGACCATTATGAATAGAGGATAACTAAAGAATAAAGTTTTGATGAGAATCACTATATTCAATCTGCTGATGCCTCAACATTTGAAAAGAAAAACCAGTTTCTGTCTTTGAAGCTTCAAACTCTGAATTTTAAACACAGTAGCCTTTAATGCTAAATTTATAAAGTTGAGTTTAAGGTTCTATTGAAATTAACATCTCACATCTTTACTGGTTACCTAGAAAACTCACACAGTCATAATATTCATACTAGATTTAAGCAAGTTACTGTCTCAGCTTACATATCACTTTCTGCATTGACAATAATGTGTATGGAGAATCAGACTACAACCAGAGATAAAGTCAGAAACCTACAAAGACTAAGCCCATTTTTAGAAAAGAAAATAATCGAAACTACAGATACTCAATTACGGAATTTAACAACAGAGAAAACATGAAGTTGTATGCACTTATGCACTGCTTTGAAATTGTTTCAAAACAGGAAGTGATTACCAGAAATGGGTTTTCAGGCAGCAGTATCAATAATATGTTATAATCTTTCTCCTCACCTTCTCCCTGAGATTTTCCTTTCCCTCCTTATTTTATCTCCCATGATTCTGATTACACAATCTTTGGAACATGAACCACACCTTACAGGACTCTACTGTATCTTCACAATACCAGACAAGTTAAACTTAGTGATTATCTACCAATGTTATCTTCTTAGTAAGTTAAGGCAAGTTTAGAGAACAGCAACAAGAGCTGCTAGGGTAGTATTAAATTTAAAATAAAAAAGCTTAGCATGTATATCTTTCTACTGTACAACTAAGACGAAAAGGAAAAAAAAAAAAAAGCAAATGCCTGAAATGCATAAACACCAAAAAAGGGAAAAACTTACTTAGCATACTATGCAGAGAGATAAGTGGAACAGTAGATGCAAATAAAAGGCGTATCAGGGGATGGAAGGGGCATGGGGGAAATTCAAGAGCTAACCAAGGCAAAGAAAGCAAAAGTATTAAACCTATCCTCAAATGCCAAAGAAAGTTTACATTATAACTTGCCTCCAGCCAAGTCTTTAAATACAAGGTATCTAAGAGGCTATTTTGAAAAAGGAATTTGGCTACATAAAGAGCTAGGCACCTGAGTTTTTTGACCATTTTGGATAAATTAAAGACAAACCTACCTAGCACTACAATAAAAGAATTAACTTGTATTTAAAAAACCAAAATAGCATGTATGTCTACATAACTGCTCTAGAGACACTCATATAAAAACTACATATATATACACATTATATACAGTTAACTTTAGAAGACTGAAGACAGCTTCTGCTAAAAGCTCGCAAGTACCAAACTTTGATGACTTTTTCAAAGTATCTGATTACAATTTTTTTAACAGTTACAGTCTGCTAAATAGTCTGATACCCCAATTAATTTGGCAAGTATGTTCTATTATCTCACCACTTGCTAGAATTAGAGAAATTGAATATTAAAATTAGCAAAAATAGCATTCAGTAGTTTTAAAATCAATCTTAAATCTTTTATTCTATAAGCAAAAACTTTGTATTACTTGATTTACACAAACAGCAGCTCTCATATCCACACATCTTAGTTTATTTGGATTAGTCAACTTTTTGATGTATGTTTGATTCTGTGATTCCGTTTAAGTTCATCAGGTTGAATACTGAATGTTCATGGGCACAGGAGAATGCCAGTTTCAACTGAGTACTCTAGAACTACATATAGATAAAGAAGTGGCCTCTTAATACAATGGAAAGTTGGGAGTTAAGAGAAAGCAGTGTCCTAGTTTATTTTGAATTTTTCTTGAATTTTAAAGACAATACAGCATTTCTATATTGTAATTTTTAGGCCTTACTGTCCTGGTTTGGGATGGAATAAAGTTAATTTTCTCCCTAGTAGTGGGTTTAGTGCTGTCCTTTGGATGTAGGATGAGAATAATGTTGATAACACACTGATTATAGCAATTGCAAGGACTTTCAGCTTCACGTACTGTCTTACCAGTGGAGGTTGGGAGTGCACAAGAAGCTGGGATGGGACACAGCAAGGGCATCCGACCCAAATGAGCCAAAGGGTTATTTCATGCCATATCATGTCATGCCCAGTGCATAAACTGGAGGGGGTTGGCTGAGGGACACCATGGCTTGGGGATTGGCTGGGCACTGGTCAGCAGGCAGTGAGCAATTGTATTGTACATGATTTGTTTTCTCTATTCTATGACTATTGTTGCTGTTGTTGTTGTTATTATTATTGTTTTCCCTTTCGTTTCTGTCTTATTAAACTGTTTTTATCTCAACCTTTGAGCTTGACTCCTTTTTTCTCATTCTCCATCCCTAACCCACTGGGAGCAGGCACTGAGCAAGCCACTGCTTGGTGCCTAGTTGCCAGCTGGAGTTAAACAATGACACTTGTAAAAATTAAAGTTTTGGTCACAGTGTTAACTGACCCAGCTGTAATTACACTTAATTAGAATTTCCTACTGCTGCTCTCAAGCATAATTTATTAAGGATTACAATGCTGTAAAAACACACCTTAAACAGACTACTTGCTGCAGCTGAATTAGTGGTATGTGAGAAACTTCATTAGTTTTTAAGTGCTGTGTCCTCTTTCATCTAGACATAATAGTATTAGAATTATGTGCCAGGCCACCTTTTTACCTTTTAATTTATTTTTAATTACCTTTACTCTGAGAGAAAGTTAAAAGAAAAAATGAAATGGCATAAAAACCTACTAGGTAATGAAAACATACAGCGCTAAAAGAATCTTAGATACTAGGTAATATGTTATTTATTTACCTTGGTTCTGATGTCAGCTTTATAACCGTCTTGTGTGGCAAAGAATCTTGGGAAGACTGAACATCATCCTACAATAGAACATTTTTGAATACACTTAAACATGAGCTTTGTCTACTATATGAACTTTATGAAGTACCGAACCATGTTAGTCATTCCACAATCAGAAGCCTATTTTAGCATGTTATACAGGACAATGAACCACAAAGGTTTATTAACTAAGTACTTCAGATTGACAAAAGAAAAATAGGCATTATGATCAATTCATTGAGAAACCCTTGCTTTCATTATCAAATTGTTTGCAAAAATGAAAATGTTGGGCTGACATTATAATTGCCAACTTCTTTCAAATTTTGCAAATATGCATATCCTTCTACTAATCTTTTCTTGAAATCCTACACTCCTGTATATTTACCACAAGGATTTAGTCATCTGTCAGATCTTGCCATTACCTCACACTGTACATAAAGAAAATTTTAAATCCCCATAGTTTAGGGGGTATGTATAATTTTCATGTTACATAAACTACTTGAAGAATTGTTTCAGAATACTGATGAATTTTTCTTTTTCACTAGTTCTTCTCTTTTCTTAAATCCAATATCACCAAGGGCTCACTTACAGTGAGAAAAAGTAGCGAAAAGCCATTGCTGTCACTATTGTATTAATCTTTAAAAGTAATAAGCTGTTCATTTACTGGCACGTTCCTACTGGTTCATATAATAGTGACAATCACAGGTTTTGCAACTGAAGTGCAAAGCTCCTAGTTCATCAGCATATTCCAAAACATCCTAAAATCATGTTTTTCAAATCCAATTATTGCCACTTACACGAAAGTTTTATTTCTGCACTCCCAGAAATAAGACTAACATACGCAAACGGTGTAGTAGTCACATTGCTTTCCTTCTACAGAGGCTGGATCTTATCCTACTGGTTGGATCATTCAAGGATCCTTAAGTTTCATCTATTTTTCAGTGTCTTCCATACACTCTAGTTTTTCATTTGTTTACTAATGTAGTCTGTGATATGCAAAGTACTCACGTATTAGCTGAAAAATACATTACGCTTTTGTGTGTTACAATTAAAACAGCAGAAACACAGTAAAAGCAGTATCATTCTGGAACACTTCCATCATGTTTCATTTCAAACTTCCTTTCCTCTGGCTTCAAGGAGAATCTTCTCCTAGTTGTACCTCCTATCTACCTAAATGCTGCTACAGTTTCCTTCTCTGTTCCTTTGACCCTGTGTTTTTTACTTCTTCACTCTTCAAAGGCAATCTTAAAGTCATCATCACTTGCCTTTTTCAACTCTCTTGGCACTCATTCTGAATGACCATCTCCAAGCAATTCTTGATGTCAGCTTTCATCTGTCACCAAAACACCATGATGGTATTTCAATATAGGTGCCTTTGAACTTTCAACTTGCTCAATGTTTGCAAAAGATGTTTGTAAATGTTCTGTCCCATTGGCCTTCTACAAATGCCACGTAAAAAACCTTTTGTCGAGGTAACCAAAGTACTGTGGAAACACCGGGCTTACAATGTGCTGCAGTGTCTCTATATCATACAGATAAATCATAATCTACCTCTGTAATCACCTTTTTCCTTCCTTTTTCTACAGATATAATCAATTCATTGAAATAAGAACTTTCTTCTTAATTTCTGCTTTCACAGTTGTAACAGTGAGTTTGACTTAGTATTCTCCTAGGCAATATACAGTTTAAACAGCAGTTAGTACTTCTATGATCCAGTGGTATGAACCCAGACTCATAAAGAACGAACAATGGAAGTTGAGTAACATACATCATCTCAACATCCTCCAACATAATTCAGAGCAGCAGTGAAAACTTCTGTCCATGAATGACCTAAAAATATTCTTACTTTACAAAGGTGCACATTTGTTTTTTTAACTCTTCCAAACCAGGAGAAACAATGACATATTAGCAGCACACACTCACAGGCATATATATGAATTATGCACATATGTATTGGTATCAGAGTCCTGTTACATTTACGCATAAGGAAATTTAAGTACGTTGTTTCCTCTCTATTTCAGGTGTATGTTCTTAGGCAGACTCTTTGCAAGACTACACCGGCTATCACAGCAGGAAGTTTTTCTTCAGAAAGTTAAAAAACTAAGAATTCTTAAAGTAAACAATATTAGCAAGTGTGTTTCTTCAAGGTGCTGTTCCCTGTAAATTTGGTCTCAAAATGGTACATGGGTACCTGTTGATGATTTTATCATCGGTGGATTCTTGTTTCTAACAGTTTCACCTAAGGAAAAAAGCACAAGGTCTAGACCTGGTCTTGCAAATTCAGCTTAGGCTTAGGATGGAAATTCTTCTATTCCTACATTTGTTAAGTAAAAGGCAAAGTCAAATTATAAGATTGCATGCTGTTATATATTCACTTATCATTTACATGTCACTGAAGTGGCCAAGAAATTTATGTCCCCATGAAAATTACAACACCTGCTTTTAATATGTGATCCATGAAGTAGAAAAAAAATAAGCCCATTTATTTTAGATGTATGAGGGTTTTTTTGCATAAACTGCTCAGGTTCACACTTTCTACTCTTCAGTATCTTCAACTAACAAAAACAGTGCTAAGTAGCAGATTTCTGAGCAGGTACTAGCAGTAAATTTCATTCTGACTTTTCCTAGACCACTCAAAGTGTATTGAAAAGACATAGTTCACATTTTATTTTTGGAGAAAATCAAGAAAGATAGCTCACCATCTTCAGGAACGGACTTGATGTGTCATAATTGTAAGCATCTTTATCCTTTAGGATGAGGATATGAGCAGAGTCAGTTATCACTTTCTTCAAGCTCATTATTGAATGGAAAAGCCTGTGAAAAATTTTAAAGTCTTAAGTTAGTTTTCATCTGGTTTTATTCCATGTGGTAACATTAGAATTTGAAAAGATTGAAGAACTCAAAGAATGAGTTACAGAAAAATAAATGAAATTTTTAAAATCAATATAGCATGAAATTACAGAATCACAGAATGTTAGAGGTTGGTAGGGACCTCTACGGATCATCTAGTCCAACCCCTCTGCCAGAGCAGGATCCCCTAGGGCAGCCACACAGGAATGTGTCCAGGTGGGGTCTGAAAGTCTCCAGAGAAGGAGACTTCACAACCTCTCTAGGCAGCCTGTGCCAGTGCTCCGTCACCCTCACAGTAAAGAAGTTTCTCCTCATGTTAAGGTGGAACTTCCCATATTCTAGTTTGTACCCATTATTCCTTGTTCTATTACTGGGCACCACAGAATGGAGACTGCCTCCTTCCTCTTGACATCCACCCCTCAGATATCTACACACATTAATAAGCTCCCCTCTCAGCCGTCTCCTTTCAAGCCTAAACAGCCCCAGTTCTCTCAGTCTCTCCTCACAGGAGAGATGTTCAAGTCCCTTCATCATCCTCATAGCTCCCCGTTGGACTGTCTACCGTGGGTCCCTGTCTCTCTTGAACTGGGGAGCCCAAAACTGGACACAGTATTCCAGGTGTGGTCTCACCAGGAGAGAAGAGAGGGGAAGGAGAAGCTCCCTAGACCTGCTGGATACACTTTTCTTAATGCACCCCAGGATCCCATTGGCCCTCTTGGCCACAAGGGCACGTTGCTGTCCCAGGGACAACTCACTGCCCATTGGGACTCCAAGATCTTTCTCCATGGGGCTGCTTCCCAGCAGGACATCCCCTAATCTGTACTGGTGCCTGGTGTTATTCTTCCCCAGATGCAGGACTCTACACTTGTCCTCATTGAACTTCATGAGGTTCACCTTCACCCAGCATTCCAGCCTGTCCAGATCTCACTGGATGGCAGCACAGCCTTCCTGGGTGTCAACCACGCCCTCCCAGTTTATCATCAGCGAACTTGCTGAGGGTGCACTCTATGTCCTCATCCAGGTCGTTGATGAAGATATTCAACAAAACTGGACCCAGAACAGCTAGTTACAATGGGCAACCAGATTGCAAAATGCAGAAATATTTTCAATTTCATTATATTCCTACCTTGCATAATGAAAATGGGGTACATCTCCACACACTGTTATGCTGCACAATTTTTACCCTCAAAAAACACAAGTACTTTTTAAAAATGCTAATGTTAGGAATGTTCGTCTTCTACATGTTTGATTTCGTTTGTCTATATATCAAACCTGAAATGCTGGCATCAAACTCAAGATTGCGTTCAAGCAGAATTACAAGAACAATCAGAAATACAAAAATTTAAATTGCCACCATGGCATCCCCATTGCTTCACCTGATACAAGGTTTACAAACTTTTAATTGAGTTGTGTAATTTTATTCATCAAGTCAAAAAAAGCCCTTCTTCTACTCTCTCATAAGCTAGTCCACTGCATTTTGACTATATCTATGTTTTAATAGATTAAAGAAATAGAAATTGATGGAATTTTAAAATTCTGGTTTAAAGTATTGCATTCAAGACAAGAAAGTAACTTATTTAATGGACATGCTCTACTACTTATCATCATTTACTTCAATCAATCAAATCTACTAGGACTTAACATTCCAATATGTCATAATTTTCTGAACAAATCTGCATCTATAGCATGTATCTACATCCACAGACATACATATGAATTTATCATACACTCGTCTTTACAAAAAATTCCACAAAGTAATCAGCAGAATAATTTTTCAATAATGAGAAACCAACCACCAGATTTAAGAGCAATAAATAACAACAGACAAATTAAGTAGAATAACAACATGAAAAAGATTTCCCAAATCAAAGAAAGGTAGGTTACAGAGAGTGTGAGATTTCCCAATGAATATATGCTTAAATTATCAACTCTTGATAATTGCTTCCTCTATATAATAGCTACTGCAAAAAAAAAAAAAAAAAAGCCCTGTTATTAAAGAACTCGCAGTACAGTGTCTAATTATCTTCCTTTAAAACCTCAGAAATTTTTAAGTATTCCATAACCAAAGAGCACAGCTAACCAAACCCACTTCTCTGGCAGAGCACCTCTACATTTTCAGTATAGACATTTGCTACCTATAGCAAATCTGTATATTTGAAATAAATAACTCTGTTTTTAAAAAGCAAAGGGAAATTAAGATTTAAGTTTATATATTTATAATAAATACCTAGTGCCATAATCCACAACTACCCAATCTTTAGCTGTTCCTGTAATAGCATCATGATGCTGAAAGAGTCCAAGGTCCCTCCTAGCTTCTGTCAGCAATTTGTAGTTATTCACTGAAGGAAATACACTCATCTTCTCAGATTTACTGGACTGCACCAAAGCCAAGTAGTAGAGGACTTCAGCTGCCCTGAAATTGCAGAGAAGAATCAAATATTTATACAGGTATAAAGAGCAAAAAGCATTGCACTTTTTACCGGAAGAATAAACTGATGTTTTTACATCTTTCATTACGCCTAGCTGTGGAAGTTCTTTAAACCTTAATCTTTTATTTTTTTATCTTATTTCTAGCTTCAAACAGTTAAAAATTACTGTTGCACTTCACCACTTTGCAAGCTTCCTGTAAGACTTCAGTGATGGAAAACAAAGCTTTAAAAGAAAAATATGACAATACAAAGTTAACAGAACATTTTCATAAATGTGTGACATATCTGCTCTTAAAAGGACACATTGAGGATACGCTGCCATTTCAGAAAGCAATTAATCAAACAAAACTCTTAAAGAAGTGTATTAATCCACACATTCTATAAAATATCTATTCTGCCATTTGTACTTCAAGTAAGGTAAATTCTCCTAAAGACATAGGAAATTGATGTACCTGTTCACCACACATTCACCTGAAGAGGGAGAACATCACATCCAAAAATTCTTAAGACTGAACAGAATGTAGAGACATTCTCTCCTCCTTATTATGCAAAACCCTAAAACTAATACATTACCATTAAGTTCTCACTTGCTTCACGAAAATCTAAATCTGTTTTACAAAAAAAATGAACTATAATTGCAAGTTATTATGAATAACAAAGATGCCTGTAGAAATTCTGGTAAACCATCTGTTCACTTTTTTCCTATCTCCTTCTTCTAAAATGTTACAATTCTGTTTTGCAAATCTGAAAAGTGGTAGGTGCCTTTCCAAACTTTTTTTGAGCTTAATGGTTTCTCAAGTGTTTGAAGAAACCAAGAAACAGGTTAATCTTATAAAAAGCAAAAAAACCAAAACAATTTATATTCTTGAAATAAAGAGAAAACGTCTAAGCATGTAAATAATCAAAATAAAATGGAAAATACATTAGGTTTTACATTTACCCAAGCCGTCGGTGAGTAGATTTGTTACAATTTAAGCTAGGGACAACAACAAATTTTAAAATAATTCTCAACTTACGTTTTCACTGTGCATTGATATTACTACTACCACGAAAAATACTTTTGATTACGTTGTCTTTATGCATCACATAAGTGACAATTATGTAAAAACTGCAAGTACAAAGTGTCACACTAAACTGAAAGGTACAATGTTCATTTAATTGATTTTCATATAGTCAATATTTGAGGAATAGGATGAGATGTTGCTCTTGCAGGTAAGGTAACTAGTCAGAAGCTACAAATAAAATCAAGATATAAAAAGTTGCAATTCCTGGTTTTTTACTACTAGTCACTTAAGCTTAACTGCTATGGGTTTTGATGTTGCCTAGTGAAAATTCCTCCATCTATGCACTCCTCCTACTTTGTTCTGTTACACCTCCACTTGAAAGGAAAACAAGTATATTATGGTTAAAAAGGCATCAGATGCACATTCATCTAGCAGATAAACCCTCCGTGAAAGTGTTTTACCTTCCCTGAAATATTTGATTTAGCCACTATACACTGGCCCAACTGCAGCTATGAAGAGAACACAAAAAAATTTAGTCCTCAAAATGCAGGTTGGCTTTCCCTCCCCACAATCCACCTCGATGCTTTTTGTTTCTTTGTTGTTTTTTTTCTTAACTGAGGAAGTCCATTATTTATAAACTTGGTAACAAACTTAAAACTAGAAGAAATAACATTAAAATGAAGCTATACATTAACTACATTTTCAATTCATACTGCTTTGAGAACTTCACTTTAAATCCATTTTGTGTCTATGGAACACTTGGAACACTTTTGGCTTTCAGAAAAAGAAATGATTCTGACTTGCAGATCCATTCATGACATCAGTCTCTGCAAAATTTTCTTTTCAAGTCTCAATTTTATTCTAAACATTAGAATGGTTCAACGGTCAAAAGATGAAAGATACTCAGAAGTGAAACCATAAGAAATGTATTTGAGAACACTTCAACTTACAAGTAAGCATTCACTTCTAGGATCTTTCCAGAAAAGCTGTGCAAAGCCTTGGTTTTCTCATGACTATTTCAAACTACTGCAGATTATATAAAGTATTTAGTTACCACAGATTTTCCACTTTGTTGTACTTTGTCCCTGTATCTCTACCTGATGACACAGTAAATAGACAAAAATCGGCTTCACTGATTCCTTAAAGTCTACAACAGGTTACATTTAGGTCTACTTTATATGTAACCTAAGTCAATAATAAATAATAATTCCAAGAGTTTTTGAACTCTCAAGATGTGGTCTTTTCTATCCATCTGTACACTAAGATGTACCATTGTGGCTCTTGTTCTGCTTTCGAATTACTTCAACAATCTTTTTTTCAGACTTACCATCATTTCTCTCTGATTACACTGTAAAGAATGAAATCACAGAACACGTTGCTAACTTGTCCTCAGCTATGCTGTTCTTTGCATCTTTCCATTATTATACTAAACAAACTTACAGTCGCTGTTTTCATCACCGTTTAAACTACTTCAATCCATCCACCTCTCACTTAAGATTAGGAAAAAAGAAGTCTCAGCAATTATGTCAATCTCCATTACAAAATCCTTAAAATTCCATGCATTTTCTTTAATGCACAATCCCAAAAACTTTTTTAACACCAGGAAAAACCCAAGCAACCAACTCTCTTCTTCCTTAAGTGTCCAGCCATCATAGCAGGTCCTGAAGTTGGACACTGTTTCCTGGATATTAAGCAAAAGTGAAGTACTTCTTAATCCTGGTGCTGTTGGAACTTAAAAGCACCCATCCTTGGGAAAGAACACACACACATACATACTTACTTCCTGTTCACAGATCACTCCCCTTTATATATAAATATATATATACACACACACATATATATATATACACACACTATATAGATAGATATAAGTTAGATCAAAAAGAACTATGAAAAACTTAATCACAAGTTTGGGGCAAGAGTGTTATTCATTAAATATGATCATTAACTTTAAAGAAAATTTAAAAAAATAGAATATGCCATCTTTGAAGACTCTCTAGGCCTCTGAAAGCAGAACTGTCAAAAAACTCCAACACATCTATACATTTTGTTCTTAATTCACAAATGAAAATGAAAGATGAAAAACTTCCCAGATTGAAGGTTTAGTTTTCTTCCAGAGATCCTTTACTTTTAAGTCTAGGACTTTTTCAGAAGTTGCAAGTAACTGAAAGTCTTACACAAAGGAATCCTTTAACAGTGCAAAGTTGTAAATACTATAAATAAAATTAAAAGCAATTCATACGAAATTTTATGCAATGTAAGTAATGAAAACCAGAAAAATTACCAAGTAAATACAGTTAACATTTTTGAGAATTCAGGCTATGACAAGAGTTAAAACAAAATTAAAACTTTGTTGAATTTTAACAAACAGAAAGGAATTTAGGGGGAAAAAGAAAAGAAGTAGGTACCCTAGCCTTGCTTTGTGTCATTCCTCTCAGCTTTGGTCTTATTTTAAGTCTCACTCCTGACAACCTGTGGCTTCTTTCCTCCCTGCTTTTGCATTTGTCAACCTTTTCTCCTTGCTGGTCAATGCAATGCCTTCAAATCCGTAACATCTTTCTATTCTCAGGCCCTTGATCCCATTTCTTACATCGTTCTATTGCTTTCATTTCTTCCTCGCTAATTTTCTTGACTTCCTCACGTCTCTTACTCTGTATTCTTAGAACGTAGAGAGAAGGCTAGAAAAATTCACTTTCATTACAAGAAAACCATACTACAGATCACAGAGTAGCTGTGTCCCAAGTTTGCAAAGGCCTCACTTTACTAAAGACTTGATTCCTTGGAAAAAGGAAAACAAATTCTGCTAGATACAGAGGTTTCTCTTCTGAAAGGTACTTGTATGTGTGTTCAAAATGCTTTTCATGCTCCCAAACCAAGACTTTCCTCATCTCTCTTGTTCCCTCCACTACTGCAGCAACCATTAAAACAAAACAAATAAACAAAAAGCTCTGAAGAGCATGCTGAAGTACTATAAGAGGTATATTTTAAAGGATCCTTCCAGAAGACAAGAAATGTCCTTTGGCTAAGAATCTTTGGAAGAATAATCTTTTGGAAACAGTTTCCAAGTTTTGGCAATAGCTGAAATATTCAGGGCTTGCAACATACGCATCAGTCCCAGATTTCGTTCTGGAGTCTTAAAATACACGTAAATCATTTTACAGTGTGTATTATCTACAGCTGCTCTAATGGGAGAACAACTTATATACTCCATCACCAAAATTCAGCAATAATTTTTTGTTCAAAGCAGATGCAAACACTTTTCAGAAGAGCAGCACCTTACAACCTGAGATCACATGGCATACAATATTCCTGACTACTTCTCAACTGGCTCTAACAACCACTGTAAAATTCGTGCCTTTCTATCTCTCCCTGAAAGAGTTCACAGCCATAATTATAGATTGATCTGATAGCCGCCCAAACCCAATACAGAAACAAAAAACATACTACGTGTTATTTTCCATAGAATCAGGACTTGCTGAAAACTTGAAAAGTATTTTAGAACAACTTATTTGTTTGGATGAAAAAAACGATCATATTTCCGTGACTTTACTAAAAAAACCCAGATGCATCAACTAATCCTTGTAACAACAAGTACATTTGGTGGCCATTTAGGCCATCCTTATTGTAAGTAAACTTAATCTGCGCATTTCGAAATCACTTTTCCATCTGTCCGACAGATTTAGAGTACTTATACATCCGTATCTCCCATGTGTCAAGACATATGTTATGAGTTTACTGAATGGCAGTATTTACCGTAAGTAGGATTCCAGAGCTCTGTCCAATCGTTTATAGAATGGTCGTGACGTAAAGTATCCGCTCCAGTAATGATGATCTCTGTCTGCATAGGTGAAGAAGTCTCCACTTAAAACAGGGAAAAACGAACTGCTGTGCTTTTCACCCAAATTGCTTTCTTTGCGCAGAGCTTCAAAGTAATCCGATAAAGTTCCAAACTGGGCCTGAATGAAAATTAAAATTAATATAACATAGTTCCATTTTCTCTACTTAGATATATTAAGAGAATGAATATGCTTGGATTCATACACACTTTAGAAATATGTCAGTCTTCCAGCATAATTACAGCACAAATCCTATCCTAAAAAGCTGCAAATTTTCCCTGTGCATTTTTCAGACAAGCTGAGTAGCTCTTCCAAAAGCATTTCAAGCTCATTTCAACTCAACGCAAGAAAGACAGGGGCTTGTTGAAGGGGGTCTGTAGGAGGGCCACAGAAATGATTAGAGGGATGGAACACGCCTCCTATGAAGAAAGGCTGAGAAAGGTGGGGCTATTCAGCCTTGAGAAGGTTCCGGGGAAACCTTATAGAGGGCTTTTAATATCTAAAGGGGATCCACAGGCAAGATAGGGACAATCTTTTTAGCAGAGCCTGTTGCTATAGGACAAGGGGCAATTGTTCTAAACTAAAAGAAGGCAGATTTAGACTAGATATAGGGAATATATTTTTTACAATGAGAGTGGTGAAACACTGGAACAGGTTGCCCAGAGAGGTGGTAGAAACCCCATCTCTGGAAATGTTCAAGGTCAGGTTAAACAGGGCTCTGAGCAACCTGATCTACCTCAAGATGTCCCTGCTCACTGCAGGGGGGCTGGACTAGATGACCTTTGGAGGTCCCTTCCAAACTAAAGCATTTGATGACTCTAAGTATCCTTATAATAAATTGTAATGATAACTCTTCAAAATTAAATTAAGTGATTTTGATTTTTCTGTGTTTTGCTATTGTTTTTTAAGAATTATTTTTAACAAGCGTACAAAACAGCATGCTACAATTTATAAGAGCAGACAACAAGCTTTTAGCAAAAATCTTTTAAAATTGACTTGGAATGTAAGGACTATTATTCTGACAACAAAGATATTATTATTCTGACAACAAAGATATGCTATTAGAACATTTAAAAAAAACAAACCAAACCAAATCAAACAGTATTCACTCTTCAAAATAATTCAAGAAGATTCAAGATCCAAGTAGGCACTTTTAAGACACTTGGCAAAACAGAATTAAAAAAACTAACCAACCGAACAAAGAAAAGCCAGGTATAGATCAATAGGTCATCTCCCTTCTGCATGCTGGCTTACATAAGAGGACAAAAACCTCACCAGAGGCACCAGTTGAAGAAAACTCATTCTGTTGTCAGGTGAGTGGAAACAGTGAAATAACCTGGCAGAATCTTCTATTGACATATAAAAAGCTTCATCTTGATTCATAAATTATAGATGTAAAGGATATCTCCAAATGGGAGATCAAACTCCCTGAGAGCAAAACAGGTTATCTTTTACAGTAATCTACCACATACTTTTAGGACAATACAACACTTGGTGGTGTGAGAATCTCAGTGCTAATAGACAGATCCATCAGATAAGCATCTCAAATTTGTCTGAAAGGGTAAAGTCTCTCATAAGATCAGAAAGGCAGCGTAGGCAGTCCTACCTATAAGTAGTAACATCTTCGGCATCTCAGCACTTAAGGGAGAAATGTGAACTCTTTCTTTATATAATCTAGGTTTTTAGGAAGCTAAGCATGACCTTTTACTTGCCTATGGAGGTACAGTCCATTGGGCAAAGTGCAGCGGAGTTCACTTCACTTAAGCTCGTATTTCCAAGGATAAAAGATATCTGTTAAAAAACCACACAACAAAACAAAAAAAAAACCCAAACAAACAAAAAACCAAAC